CCCCATCTATACTAAAAATGCAAAAATTAGCCAGGCATGGTGTTGTGTGCCAATCGTCCCAGCTACTTGGGAGGCTGAGGTGGGAGAATCACTTGAACCCAGGAGGCAGAGGTTGCAGTGAGCTGAGATCACACTACTGCACTCCAGCTGGGGCGATAGAGCAAGACTTAGTCTCAAAATAATAATAATAATAAATAAATCGTTCAATGAAGTGTCCATTGTTTGCTGATATCATATTGTTTAGGATTCCTGGTGCCACCATAACAAAGCACCACAAATTGAGTGACTTTAAACAGTAGCATTTTTTTCTCTACCAGTTCTGGAGCCCAGAGCTGAAATCTGGCCACACTCCTTGCCAGGATGGAGGGGAGAATCCTTCTTCTTCAAGTTTCTGGTGGCCCCTGGTATTTCTTGGCTTATGGCAGTTTGACTCCAGTCTCTGCCTGTGTCTTCACATAGCCTTTTTCAGTGTCCCTCTGTGTCTGTATTCAAATCATCTCTTTTCTTTCATGAAGACACCATTTTAGCTTGCACAGTGGCAATATTATGGCCAGTGAGGTTTATCGGAGTCATGATTATTGCTAATTGAAAACGTTTTGCAGTACCCTGCCATGATGACTTGAAATACAGTTGGCATTGACAGTTTTTGACAGTCTCTATGGAGATTGAACTGTAAAGAAAGAAAAAGAAAAACACTGTTCTTTGGATTTCGAGTTCACTCTAAACCCCGGATGACTTACTGTGAGATCCTTAGTGGGTTACCTTTATAAAGACCTTATTTCCTAACCTCGCATTCTGAGGTTCCAGGTGGACATGAAATATTGGGGATACTATTCAAGCCACTGCACACATCAAAGGCTGTTTTGGGGTCATTTAGTTACGGAAGTGTTCATGCCTCTGCTTAGAAAATACCATACTAGGGGGAATACCAGGCCCAGGAACTGCCTATGGCTGTTTTGCTCTAGCTACTCTGGGGGTTGGGGAAGGCTAGAGGTTCGCATGAAACCCATTCTACCATTGCCATCTAAGTCCTTACCACATCCAGCCCAGTCTACTGCAGTATCCACCTAACTGGCTTGGTAGTCTCCCTATGGGTGTCACATGAACCTCTAGCCTTACTCAACCCTTAGGGTAGCTAGAGCAAAACAACCGAGGAAGAGTGCAATAGCAAATGAGATGGGATGGGGAGGTAGGGGCTAGATCTTATGGGAACTTTGCAGGACATGGCTGAGACTTTGGGCGTTATAGTAAATGGAATGAGGACCCAGTGAAGAATTCTGAATGAGGAGTGACGGGATCTGATTTGTCATATGTGTTTTTGGAAAGGTCTCTGGCTGTTATAGACTTACAGAGTAGGGTGCAGCAGGGGAAAGCAAACTAAAATGGAAGTTTAAAAACCAGTGAGTGGGCTACTGTAGGAGACTGTGCTAGACATGGTAGAGACTTAGACGGCCATGGTAGCAGTGCAGGTGGTGAGAGGGAGTATCTGGAGAGTGAGCCAAGGGATTTGCTCAAAATAATTAGCAATAACCAAGAAAGAGGAAGCAATCACGGGTGATTCTTAACTGGATAACAGGGCCGATGGTGACACTGTTTACTGGAGAATGAGATTAAACGAGGGGTTGTTTGGAGGCCGTGGGAAATGTGGAATCAGAATTCCTCTAAACAGGTTAGGTTTTAGAGGCCTATTATACTTCCAAGTGAAGATTCCAATCTATAGAATGGATTTAAGCCTGGAACCCTGTGGCGAGGTCTAGAGAAATAAATTCAGGAGTCATTAGCCTGTAGGTGGTATTTAAAGCCGTGGGATTGATTGAAACCACCTAGAGAAGGAGTGCTGAGAAAATGAGAAGGCTGCAAGATTGAACCCTGAGATTCCACCACATATAAAGGTCTGGAAAGAAGAACGCTAGCACAGGAAGCTGACAAAGCGAGACCAGTGAGGAAGGAGGAAAAAAGCAGGACTGTGTTGTAGTGTTCAAGTTAAATGAGTAACTAATAGACTGAAGAACCTTCCCGTTAGGTACCTTGATGACAATCTGTACTCCTGTCCTATGTTAAATTTTAAGAGTTTTATGATTTATCAGTTTGGTGCTACTAAATTGTCAAAAACAATTGTTTGGTAGCAATTACATACAGTTTCAAACTAAACATAAAAATTACCAAGTAATAAAATGTTCCTTCCTATTACCTCTTAGTAGGAACAAATTCAAGTTCCTACTCTTTGTTGGAGGATTTGCAAGTTTTTCTCTTTCATGGGAATTTTTGTTCGTTCAGGGTCTCTCTGTGCAGGGCTCTTGCTATTTGGGTAATAATGGGAGTTCCTGGTTTCTGTCTTACAGGAAGAATATGTTCAAGAGGGAATAAGATGGACACCCATTGAGTACTTTAATAACAAAATTGTGTGTGACCTCATAGAGAACAAAGTGGTATGTGTTGGTTTAGTATGTCTTGTCACTGCTGACAGGTTTACATTGAATTTTTGTTCTCTGTGTCATTGTTTGACAACAGGCAAAGTGGCAACTCTGATTTACAGAGAATTTGATCAATTGTACTACTTTTCTGTATGTGTGAAAAGAGAACAGTAGGGCTTTATTCTGTTAGTAAATATGAACACGTGGATTTGAGTAAAATGTCAATTTACAAATGGAAGTTGTTACTGAAGTCTAAGGGAAGACAACTGTCACATGATGACATAGCATGTGAAGAACCTTAACATTGGCCCTGTGTTCTAGTCCAACTTCTAGGACTTTAGCCCTAATGACTGTTTCAGGCCAGGTGTGGTGGCCCATACCTATAATCCCAGTACTTTGGGAGGCTGAGGCAGGTGGACCGCTTGAGCACAGGAGTTGAAGACTAGCCCAAGCAATATGGTGAGACCCTGTTTCTAAACACAAAATTTAGCTAATATGAAAACTGTATTAGCTAAAAAATTAGCTAAGGCATGGTGGTGTGCACCTGTGGTCCCAGCTATTCTTGAGGCCGAGGTGGGAGGATCGCTTGAGACTGGGAGGTTGAGGCTGTGGTGAGCTGAGATTGCACCACTGCACTCCAGCCTGGGTGACAAAGCAAGACAAGACCCTGTCTCAAAAAAAATTTTTTTCTTTCAAAATAAAATAAAAGTGACATATAATAGATAACTCTGTAGGACTTTTTATAAAACTGAAAACAGTAAAAATATCCATAGACAACTAAGTTATTAAACAAACTATAGTGTATCAGAACCGGGAAATACAGCCATTAAAACAGTAAGTATGAAGAATATGTAAAACATGAGGAATGCTTATAAAATAGCTGGGCACAGTGGCTCAAGCCTATAATCGTAGCACTTTGGGAGGCCGAGGCGGGCAGATCACGTCAGGAGATCGAGACCATCCTGGCTAACACGGTGAAAACCCCTCTCTAATAAAAATTTGAAAAAATTTGCTGGTGGTGGTGGCACATGCCTGTAGTTCCAGCTACTCAGGAGGCTGAGGCAGGGGAATCGCTTGTACCTAGGAGGCGGAGGTTGCAGTGAGCCAGGATCATGCCACTGCACTGCAGTCTGGGTGACAGAGCAAGACTCTGTGTCAATAAAAAAATAAATAAAATTAGTGCTATGTGAAAAAAGAAATGCATTATAGAATGTGTACACTAAATAATTACATAAATGATACCCATATGGGTAACAGGCCAAAAAAGAACATTAAGAAAGAGATTCAGTCAAAAGAAAATGTTTTTATTTTACTTTTGGATTCTTAAAGTGAATTTGGCATGAATATGAGTGAGCAGATACTGATCTGTGCATGACTCTAAGATAAGACTTCAGGGAGTTAAACAGTTTTTTGGAAAATTGTTTCCTCCCTCTTTAGATCTAAGTGGTGACTCCCCATTTGGGACTGTTAGTTACATTCTTGCCTGAATGGGAAGACTGACTTTCAAGATGGTATCTTAAGTCAGGGGAGCTGTTCCTTTGCCTAAAAAAGGACTTGTCCGTTTTGGAGAGGTCAGTGACTAGGGCCTTGCCTTCTTGGTCCCATCAGAACCCTCCTGGCATCATGAGCATCCTGGACGACGTGTGCGCCACGATGCATGCGGTGGGTGAGGGGGCAGATCAGACACTGCTCCAGAAACTTCAGATGCAGATTGGGAGTCATGAGCACTTCAACAGCTGGAACCAAGGCTTCATCATTCACCATTACGCTGGAAAGGTATGGCCGATATCCATTTTAATGTCTATCTGTTTTAAGCCTTTGTTTGGGTCTGTGATTTGTTTTCTCATGAAGCAAATGATATGCCTTGCTGTATTAGTCATTCAACAAATAGAACTTACCAACTATCGAGGGAGGCAAAACAAAAGACTGTATATACTCATGCGTAATTTTTTTGAATGTACATACTTTTTACATTGTAGAGGAAGGTACTACTATTTTTTTACAGCATATAAATGAACATAGGTATAAGCCAGCAAGAATGAAATAACTAACATCTAATGAAAAGAAGCAGAATTTCTAAAACACAATAAATACCTATACCCTACTTTTGGGAACCAAATGCTAACTACATATATACATATAACAAGCCAAGTGCTGCTACATCAGAGGTACCAAAAACACTTTCTTTAGGAATTGTAAATAAGTATCATCCAGCACCTGGATGCTAAATAAAAGAGCGGGAGGACTAAATAAATAGAGAAGTCACTCTAACCCACTTTCCTGTTTCCATCTTTCAAGAATTCAAGTATTTTTCAAAATTTCGATAAAAATATCCTGTATCTATGATCTCTTCAACAATATCGGAATGGTACTTTTACTTTTTTTCTTTTTTTCTTTTTTCTTCTTTTTTTTTTTTTTTGGTCTTTTTGTCTTTTTCCTTTTTGTGGAGAAACGGGGTCTTGCTATCTTGCCCAGGCAGGTCTCGAACTCCTGGGCTCAAGCTATCCTCCCGCCTCTGCCTCCCTAAGAGCTGGGATTACAGGTGTGAGCCACAGCGCCCGGCCAGAATGGTAGTTTTAGACAACTTTAAAGCTTAAGCTCCTTCTGAATTTCCCAAAGTGTTTTTGCACTCTTCTTCAGATGGGCCTCCTCTTCAGGGGTCAGCTTTATCTTTATAAGTTTGGTAATACCATTCTCTCCCAGGATACAAGGAATACTGAGAAACACTTCTTCATCTATTCCATAGAGGCCCTTAATTATGGTGGAAACTGGATGTGTTCTCCTAAGATTCTTCAAAATACTTTCTGTTAAATCAGCTACAGATAGGCCGATCGCCCAAGAAGTATAACCTTTCATTTTAATAATCTCATAGGCACTAGCAATCACTTCTTTGTGAACGTTTTTCCATTGCTCAGGATCTTTATCAGTTCCTATATCAGAGTTCAGATCCTTCAAAGGGACACCAGCTATGTTCACTCCACTCCACACAGGAACACTTGAGTCTCCGTGCTCTCCGAGGATCCATCCGTGGCAGCTTTCAGAGTGGATACCAAGCTTTTGTCCAATCAAGAAACGAAAACGAGCAGTATCCAGATTACAGCCGCTTCCAATAACACGATTTTTGGGAAATGCGCTCAATTTCCAGGCTACATAAGTTAAGATGTCCACTGGGTTGGAAACAATAATCAGTTTGCAGAGGGGGCTGTACTGGACAATACTGGAAATCATTAACTTGAAGATGGCCACATTTCGCTGGACTAAATTAAGGCGCGTCTCTCCCTTTTCTTGGCGTGCACCTGCTGTGATAATCACTAGGTTGGAGTTTGCGGTGACACGGTAATCTTTGCTACAAACGATAGTTGGCATTTTCACGAAAGGGCTGCCGTGTTGAAGATCCATGGTCTCCCCCTTCAGTTTCCCTTCATTAAGATCCACAAGGGCAAGTTCATCAGTCAAGCCTTTTAATAAGATGCTGATAGCGCAGGCCATGCCCACCGACCCAGTTCCTACGATGGAGACCTTACTGTGATGAACGGGCTTCTCGGAAGCAAAGCTCTCCATGAGCTCACTCTTCACAGTCGCCATCTTGCTCACCGGGGTGAAGAGCCAGGTGCCCCTGAGCGGCAGGCGCGCCGCCTGACGGGGACACAGGGCCATCCCCAGACACAGGAAATTCACCCCCGCCGAGCTCACTCTCTGGGTGGCCCGCACAACAGGCACGGTCCAACTCATGGTTCTTCACCCAAGAAGTGGAGGGAGAGAACGGGGAAAAAAGCTGCTGACCAAACCGGCGAGACGCCAAGAGAGCCGTTGGCGGCACCGTCAGCCCCCAACAGCCAGTGCGCAGGACCCGCCCCCCGACTCTCTACTGCGACTGCGCGGGCCTTGCCAGCGCTTCCGGCACGTGCTTTCCGTGGGTGCTCAGACTGAGGCGGTGAAGGGCTTCTTCTCTAGCAAGTGATTTCTGGAGTTTGTTTTACCAAGAATGTTCTCATCAAGAGTTGACATGCTTAAGAGGCTAACCCAGATCCCTGGAGTTACTAGTTTTCTATTTTTAGTATGAATGCCAAGAAAAATGCTTTTGTTAACTACAGCTGGAAATGAGGTTGCATCTGAACCGTGAGCCTGCCAGGAAGGATAGGGCACTGTGCTTTGTGTACCAGTAGCTGCTTGCACCGTCTCCCAGTGTCCCAGAGTGGGCTCCTGCTTTCTGGTGTGTGTTCTGGAGGCCTCTTTATTTATATATTCATTTATTTATTTTTTGAGATGGAGTCTTGCTTTGTCACCCAGGCTGGAGTGTAATGGCACGATCTGAGCTTATTGCATTCTTTGCCTCCCAGGCTCAATCAATTCTCTTACCTCAGCCTCCCAAGTAGCGGGATTAATAGGCATCCACTACCATGCCCACCTAATTTTTTCTGTTTTTTTTTTTTAAAGTAGAGACAGGATTTTGGCACAGTGGCCAGGCTAGTCTCAAACTCCTGACCTCAGCTGATCAACCCGCCTCAGCCTCCCAAAGTGCTGAGATTACAGGCATGAGCCACTGTGCCCAGCCTAGAGGTCGATTTATAAAGGATCCCACTGCCTTGGTGGCAGTCCTGGCCAGGACCCACACTGCCACAGTCAACAGGAGCTTGAGCCGGGTAGGGGCCGCCTGGGAGTCATCCAGCACTAAAAACTCACCTTACTACTGCATATTTTTAGAACATGAATTATTACTCTGCTATATATATTAGCTGTTGAAGAAACGGATTTTCATCTTGCCTCTTGCTGCAATCACAGACTTGGATTGCTTGTCTAACCATGCTGACTGGCTGTAAAAATGAAGGTCTGGAGTTCACTTTTGGTAATGTCCTCATAAAATGCATGAGTATTGGGTGCCTACTGGGTGCCAGGCTGTGTAGGGCTGCTGATGATCAAAAAGTAAGTTGAGGTCATGGTCTTGGGGACTTCCTCGTCCTGTGGAAATCCCCTGGTCTCATCCATCATCCCTGCTGATCTCTTATTAAACAGAGTATCAGCATGAGTTTCTGGCCAGACTGGTGCAAATTTGATACCACTTTTGGGAGAAATTGCAAAGCCTCAGATGACATGGCTCACCGCAATGAATTGCCGAACGTGAGGGGTTTCACCTTTGCTCTGTCTTAGCTAAAATTTAGGAAAAGAATTGAGTTTATCACTTAGACACCCTATGGATCCACTGAAGAAGGGGTATGGGGCCTTTAGAATTGGAGTTCTGATTATTGATGATTTGAGCTATCCCGGCAGCCAGATCCTCATCAGCATCTGCAGGCCATCCCAACTAAGCCACCTAACAAGTAAGACATGTGCACAGCCTTCCTGTGACAGAAATACCAAATGCAGCATCTGGAAATCCACATGTTGCGGTGAGGGTAGCCTTGCCAGCAGCTTGGGTTTTTTGTTTAGTGAAGTTACATTTTTTTGTTCAATAAATGATTTTGCTGAATGAATTACATTTTGTTGAATGAAATTAGATTTTTTTCCTTTCTTGGCCAGGTATCCTATGACATGGATGGATTTTGCGAAAGGAACCGGGATGTGCTTTTTATGGATCTCATCGAGCTTATGCAGAGCAGTGAGCTGTAAGTATGTTTTGCCATAGCTGGCGGGGATATAGGTTTGATGACATTTTCAATATGAAAACAAACTTGTGAGCTGGGTATAATGGTGTGCGCCTACAGTCCCAGCTACTGGGCAGGCTGAGGCAAGAGGATCACTTGATCCTAGCAGTTTGACGCTGCAGAGAGCTGAAATTGCTCCTATGCATAGTCACTGATCTCTAGCCGGGCAACATAGGAAGACCCTATTTCTAATACAGAAAGAATAAAGGCTGGGTACAATGGCTCATGCCTGTAATCCCAGCACTTTGGGAGGCCGAAGTGGGCAGATCACAAGGGCAGGAGATCGACACCATCCTGGCCCACATGGTAAAACCCCATCTCTACCAAAATACAAAAATTAGGTGGGCGTGGTGGTGTGTGCCTGTAATCCCAGCTACTCAGGAGGCTGAGCCAGGAGAATCGCTTGAACCAGGGAGTCTGGAAGTTGAGCCGAGGTTGTGCCACTGCACTCTAGCCTGGCAACAGAGTGGGACTCCATTTCAAAAAGAAGGAAAAAGAAAAACAGAACAGCTGTGATGTTTAGTGGTTAGCATTTTGTCCTTTGTGCTACTGGTCTTGATTATCATTCATCTCTTTGGTTTCTCAAAATAGCTTTCTTTTTTCCTATATCAGTCTCTCCCTTATGTCCCTAACACTTATGTTCCCAAATTCGAAGTGCCATCTACATGTCCTTCAGGACCTCAGGCTTTCTACCTTTCAATACTATTATCAGGAAGAAGTGAGCACACTGGGTTTGGATTGAGATGGCCATTTCTGACCATTTAAGAAGAGAACAGTCTATGATACCTTGCCCTTGAACTCTTCTTGATTGTCATTGAATTTTTAAAGATGGTTAATGACTTAGCAAGACCCACAGTAACCAGAGTCACTGAAGTACTTAAGGAATGGCTTAAGTTGGCACAGTGGCTCATGCCTGTAATCCAGCACTTTGTGAGGCGGGTAGGATCACGAGTTCAGGAGATCCATACTATTCTGGCTAACGCAGTGAAATGCCATCTCTACTAAAAATACAAAAAATTACCCGGGCGCGGTGGCATGCACCTATAATCCCAGCTACTCAGGAGGGTGAAGCAGGAGAATCGCTTGAATCTGTGTGGCAGAGGTTGCAGTGAGCTGAGATCATGCCACTGCACTCTAACCTGAGCAACAGAGTGAAACTCCATCTCAAAAAAAAAAAAAAAAGAAGAAGAAGAAAAAAGAAATGGCTTGAGAACTCTGGGAGGAACAACTAAAGGAGGAGTGACTCAGAGATCCATTTGAATTCCCAAGACCCTATTTAAGCTGTAGGGGTAGCATAGTGGGGGTATCCCTCTTGCATGCTGCTAGAGCTCTCAAGACCACCTCTGCCTTCCTCTCCTCTTCCTTGAAAGGGTTCTCAAGATCCTGGATAAATACATAGGAGATGAAATTTACACGAGCAGGCCCATGCATGTAAGGCAAGGCCCATGCATGCCAGATCTTAGAATTTCTAGCACTTCCTCCAAGTAAGAGCTGCTCCTTTGGTCTCTATTTGTAAAGCTGTCATAATAGCGAGGCAAGCTTCTCTAATCAATGGCAGCAAACCTGATAACTTCCTAATAAAGGCCTGACTACAATGAAAGTAAAGCCAGTGTTTCCTTTTCAGGCCCTGATCAGTTGTTCTGCTCCACTTACTTCTCTCTCTGCAGCTCCATGCTCCTCCTCACCCTCTGCTCTCCATCCCTGCCCTTCCTTGCAGTCACACCACCATTTTTGAGATTTTGCCTTTCTTTTCTTTCAAAACATACAATATCTGTTTGTTCTTCTCTGAAATGGTTAGGTAAGCCACAAGTCCTGGCTTGTGGGTTTTATGGCAGTCAAGTGCAAACTTGTTTCCAGATATTGTTTGTTAAAAACTAGTACAGCCGGGTGCGGTGGCTCAAGCCTGTAATCCCAGCACTTTGGGAGGCCGAGGCGGGTGGATCACGAGGGCGAGAGATCAAGACCATCCTAGTCAACATGGTGAAACCCCGTCTCTACTAAAAATACAAAAAATTAGCTGGGCATGGTGGTGAGTGCCTGTAATCCCAGCTACTCAGGAGGCTGAGGCAGGAGAATTGCCTGAACCCAGGAGGCGGAGGTTGCGGTGAGCCGAGATAACGCCATTGCACTCCAGCCTGGGTAACAAGGGCGAAACTCCGTCTCAAAAAATAATAATAATAAATAAATAAATAAATAAACTAGTACAGTTCCTGCGAAGTTTAGGAGCTGTTTTTACTTCCACATAAACTGCTGTCATATACTCATGGCCTATTCCTTTGTAAACACATTTGATGTCAAAACCTGTAGTTGTATCTGGTCAAGTTAAAAGCAGATTCCTGGGGAGACATCCTGGAAAATTCAAGCACCCAATAAGTCATTGAGGAGGAAGCGAGTTTGAGTGTCAGATTGCCAATTTACATGGATCCCATCATTTACCCAGTCAGCAAATACCTATTATAGACCAACTGCACCATGCTATGCTTCAGACACCAGGGGCACAAGATGAGTAAGGCGTTGCCCTTGCCCTTTTGCTAGTGAGGCAGACATGTAAACACATGCAGCTCAGTTAGTACCACTATTGAAAGTGTATTCAGCAGGCAGAGCATTTGTGATTTGTTACTGCCTCGATTAAAATTGCTCATACTCAAAAACAGTTGGTGAGGGTTTTCTGGGTGGAGCTGGGAACAGTGTACTACTGGCGTCTGGTGAGCGGAGGCCATGGATGCTGCCGAATATCCACAATGTGTAGAAGAGGCCCCCTCCTCCAAATTATTCAGAATAATTAAAGAATTATTAAGAATTAAAGAATTGTTCAGCTCAGCTACCAGTGGTGCCCAGGCTCAGAAATTCTGCTCTAGAGACAAGCAGCATCAGCACTGAATCCAGACATTTCATACAGTTCCCTGAGCTCTGGTCTTACTTGTCTTAACAAACCCATGCTGGCTGGGCTCAGTGGCTCACACTGGTAGTCCCAGCACTTGAGGAAGCTGAGTCAGGAACACCAGTTGAGCCCAGCTGTTTGAAACCAGTCTTGGAAACATGGCAAAACCCCATTCTTTTCAAAAAATATGAGAATTAGCTGGGCATGGTAGCGCCTGCCTGTAGTCTCAGCTATTCAGGAGGTTGAGGTGGGAAGATGGCTTGAGCCTGGGAGGTCGAGG